CCTTCCTTTCCGTACCCTGCGCCTGCTGCTTGCCGGGACCCAGCCCGGGGCCGGGCGGTTGGGGGCCCGCGGTGTGCGGGGCCCCGCTGCAGCAGCGAGGGGAGAAGGAGAAGTTGGCTGGCCTGGGAACTACGGGCAGTAGTTGCCGTGTATAACGGTGCTGTCCGGCTGCACAGGGGAGCTGGTTTATCCCGGCAGCACTGCTCGCTGCCTGCGGGCTGCTGTCTGAGGAGCTCCGGGTTGGATCACACCCTTGGCCTTTAGGCAGAAACTTCGGTGTCCTTCTGAAGTCAGTGGGAAGCCGTGTGTTCAGATGGTGTCGCTGCCCGGGCTTGGCTTGTGCTTAGGTCGTGCCTGTTTGCCCACGTTACAGAGAGGGATGGGAGCCTCGTTCTGCAGAGGGCCGTGGTTCGCAGCTTCGGGCCAAGTGCCTGTGGGTGGGAGTTTGCTGTTCATCAGCGGTGTGACCGGGACCGAGAGAATAGCTGGTGCCAGGTAGGGAGGGATTTCAGCAGGGCCAAAGACATTAGAGTGAGTTTATATGGAAATGCGATGGGTAACGTCTACATGGAGCAAAGTTTGTCTTCTCTATCTGATTATTACTTTTCCTATATTTTCTAAGTTTCTGGTTTGTATCACATGCTGTACTGTAAATGACTATCTCAGGCAGGGACCAGTGTAGTCTGGCATAGATAGCTTTTATTGCAGGCTTTTTTGTTACAAGTTGAGGTTTTCTCAGGTTTAAAATTCCCTTATTTTAGTAGCTATTTTAGCATAACTAAATGTGAGTTGAATTTGGATTCTTAAATAAGCTATTAGCAAACTAGCATGGTTTTCTTACGGAGCTTGGCAGCGAGATTGGTTGTTGCTATTTTCATCAAATTGTTATCATATTGTATTCAGAGTTTAAATACCAAGAGTTTGACCTGCTCAAGGTAAAGATAAGGTAGCCATTAGTTCTTGGAGTCATGTTGCCTATAGCTTTTCTCTCCTCCTGCAACTAAGGCAAAGTAAAACATTAAGGAACAAAACAAGGCGTCCCAGGTGGTCTTCTAATTGTTGAAGCAATTAAAATACAACAACCTGATAACACTAATAAGGTGGTTTGTGTGAATATACTGCTTGTTAGTATATACATTTATTCAGGTTTTTCTTAACGTTGAAGTGCTGAATACATTTATCTTTCCAGATCCCATAAGGAGAAATTGATGCAGGTTGGACATTGACCTTTTCTTCTGAAAGGTTGATTTACCTTGGAGAAGATAAGTTAGAAGTTTAAAATGTCCAGTACAGCTCTGATAGCTGTACAAGAGCTAAACTAGGTTTGACAGTACACGGAAATATATGGATAAGCATATTGGAAATGTAGAAGAAATAGCAGCTATTCAATGTCAGATGACTTCTTGAAAACAAATTATAGTAGGCTAATGCTTTTAGAGTTTATCATAGACATCGAAGGAGTTAACAAATGGAAAGAAAGCTTGACACTTGGCCATTGTAATAAAAGTTGTGATAACTTACAGTACAGTTTGGCTCTGTATTTGGGGATTAAGTTAACTAGTATAGTTCAGTTTAAAAAGGCCAAATACCAATTGTGTGAATAGCATTTTAACTGCAATACACTGCTCTTATTTTGATGTCTCTGGTTTGCAAAATAATTCACTGGGAGATGCAGGTGTCGACAAAAATGAAACAATATTCTACATGTACTTAGAGTGTTCCATCTTTATGCAAGTGAGAGCACTGAAGACTACACCTGGATTAGTAAAAAACTCCAACTGGGGTACTTGACGCCTGTATTGCTGTTGTGTTAGCATGCTATGAACTGACTCCACTGATAATACAGTATTGGTGTTTCATATGTGCTGTCAAACCAGGTTATAAATTGTGGTTTCGTACAGATATAGCATAGTTTAATTTTAGAGCATGCCTTCCAAAGAAACACTGATTTTGCTATTTTATATATACAAGGAGCTAACTATTCCAGTTTTGAAAAAGTTGTGAAAATGAAATGGAGCATTTGGTTTGCTTACTCATGCTACTAAAAATTAATTTTTCTCTTAATAATTTCTTATATCTGTTCCAGTTTTTGGGGAGAGTTTATTTCCGAAACTTCATAATGTTCTGAGTAAGCTGTACTGCATTTTGAAAGATGTTCTTGGAATTGAAATTTTATCAGAGACATCTGGCAAAGGTGTGACCTCCATTAGTTTGCCATAGTTGAATAAAAAGACTGCAGCTTTTTATTTCCCCACGGGGATTTGACACTGAGTGTAACTACTGCGTGTTTATTGGGAACATTTTCCCCTGAAAAAGCATTTTCAGTTTTGTATAGATGGTAAAAATATTTTGGTAAGCAGTGGATAGCTCCATGAGGTGATCATCAAAATAATTTCCTACTCTTTATCTTCTGAGTCCAAAGAAAATTTCTCAGATCTTCCTTACTGCTTTCAGCTTAATAAATTATTGCTCTTCACGTAAGATTTGTCCTGTTTATACAGTTTAATAATATTTGAGCAAAATGTTCAGAGTTATCTTTTTGCCTTTTTGTACTGTAATGAAAGGTACTGCTGTTTGTGTTGTGGTATGGTGTTAGGACTACAAAATTAATATCTGCCTATGTGTGACTGATAAGAAAATTTGAAATTTTTAATTAAATCATTATAGATTGAAATACATGGGCAGTTTGTTCCTGTAAGTATCAATAATAACAAGTTTTGTCTTCTGACTTTGAAGTTGTCAGTCATGTGGACTGTGAGCTTCTTGGCTTTCTGAAAAACCTGTAATTACACAGAGTCTCTTTCATAGCTGTTTGCCCAGGTTTGAAATTGGGTTAACAAGGCAAGCATAACAGCATGGAAGACTTTGGGCAATATAACTTCCCTTAAATGAGTTTTACTTCATTGCCATATCTACTCTGTAGAATTGGGACAGCTTGTTTAGTGCCTCAGGAAAAGCAGGATCTACATAAGGTGAATTTTCTGCTTAAAAGCTTTATTGCCGTACCCACACCTCTTTATTCTCACAGGGTAAATTCATTTTCCAGGCCTCCTTTATGCTTCATAAAAGAGCAGAAGCCTACAGTTCGGTTTCTAGTGGCTCTTTTACATCAAGCTTAGTTATGTAAGGGTATCTGTTCTGTAAAGTAGTGGAGTGATTTATCATGCATAAAACAGATTAGATGATTTCATAATCTCATCTATGTAAAATCTGGAGGGTGAAAACAAAACAAAACAAAAGCAGTAAATATTTTTTGTCTCCTTTTGCACATAACCTTTTAACAGTTAGAAGTTCTTCTAAGCCCGTGCAAGATGTGAGATGTGTGGGCTTTCCTGTTTCATATGCGTTCCAGGCCATCATGTATGTCCATGAATTTCCTGTCTGGCTGAGGAATAGCAGCAGTTAGCAGCAGCGTTTGGTTTGGTTCCATGCCCTTACATATGGTCTGAAGCCTTCAAACTTATGTTTGAAAGGCCTTTCAGGTGTGTTTGTAGTTGTTTAAGAAGGTATGCTTAGGAGTGGTTAGTTTAGGTGTAATGACATTTATCATACAGCCGTTCACAGAATCACACTTCCAGTGTTCGCGCCTTTCGCTGAGACACCGTCAGGCTCCCCGCAGAAGTGTTGCGGTAGCTCAGTCCGCTGAGTTACTGGGCTGTCGTCTCTGCTGCTTGCACGGTCCTGCTTCCCCCCCCTGTGCTGGCAGAACAGCTCCTGCACTCGGGCACGCTTCTTCTCACAGCCGTGGTCTTAAGCCAGCGCAGTGCCCTGAATCAGCTTGGTGTCCTGGCACAAGAAGGGAGAGAGGGCCCAGAAAGTTCGGACAGTTTCACAATAGATTTACAACCTTACAATAGGGGTGCCTGCACCTGGTTTTCCCAGTATTTATTTGTAGAATTTAACTGTGCAACTAACTTCTTAGGCACAAAAGTACCTGTTCCCCTTTCTCCCATGCCTCTAAAGAAACTTGCTGGAGTGTTCTTACGCTTTGAGGAAAACTTATAAAAATCAGATGACAGTGCATGTTATGGGGTTTTTTAGGCAATTCAACTGATGAGAGTTTAGTAGGAAAATACTTGGTATGCAGTTCTAATGTGCTAATATACCATGTGTTCATAGTTTGGAAAATCTTGCTGTTCATTCTGCAGTTCTATATGCTGAATCTGTCAACAGATTTCAGAGCTGAAAGTGGTAATTCAGCAATTGCATTTGGAGGTGACCTTAAGCTCAAAAAGAAGTGCTCAGGCTTGTTCTTTTTGAATTCTGAGTGTGTGATGTATGGTGTAGAGTATTTTAATGATGAGAAATAAATTTTTTGCTATGGAACCGCATTTCACTGGTATTTCTTTTAACTGACATTTTTTTCACTTTATAGGATTTTTCTGTAGTTAATATTTTGCTTCTTGATTAAAAATATTTTTAATGTATTTTTTAATAGCTCACAGGAGTCCTAGATGATTGTTTATGTGACATAGAAAGCATCGATGACTTCAATACTTTCAAGATCTTCCCCAAGATACAGAAACTGCAAGAACGTGATTACTTCAGATATTACAAGGTACAATTAGAATGCTATTTTCTTGAATAATTTAAATAAAATCCAGAAAATATAGGGAGGATTACATATCAAATCAACTTGTCTATATTAAGTTGTCTTTTAGAAGCCCACAGCTCTTTAATTTGGTTGTAGCAGATTTTCAGGCCCTGACAGTTATGTTGCTAATAAGTCATGTTTGCTGTGTTAATCCTGGAGTCAGTGACAGCAAATCGTGACTGCTTTCATTCAACTGATAAGTGGTAATTTTAAAGGTAGTATCTTTGTACTACTGCGTCTAAAAAGGATTGTGTATTAGCAGCTTACTGACAGCTTGCAGTACTTGTCTTCTAAGAAATGTGTGTAATTTGAAATGGAAATATTGCAATGATTTCCATTTCTTATCAGTTGCTGTCTTAGTTCTGATTATGGTGCTTCCTATCTAGAGAACCGTTACTCCTTTGAAAAATATGTAAAAATATTCAATTTTCAAGTAGTATGTAATATTACTTTTTTATTACTTTAAGCCTTTTTTTTTTCCTCTGTGTTAGAATCTGAGAAGCAAAATAAAACTTTGAAGCTGGATACTTCTGTTTTCAGATATGCTTAACTTGAAAATGAGATTATATTTTTACTGAGCTAATCAGATGGTTGCCTGCTACTGGAAAAAGGAGGTTCCACTCCTTTAGGGCAGTCTGTCCTGCCCCTTCCCTACTTTCAGCCCTTGGGCTTGTCTGACTGTGCATTAGGCCAATGTATCTCTTTAACCTCACAGATTTTTAGTTTGAATGTTTGGGGTTGGTTGTTGTTTGGTTGTGTTGTTTCTTTTTTCTTTTTTGTTTTCTCCCCAGGATATAGCAAGTTATCTATCTGATTTGAAATCAGACAAGTATTAAAATTGTGCAGGATGGGGTTGTGAATGTGAGGAAGGAGAAAAAAGCAATAGAATCTTCCCTTTCTAGTCTGAGCAAGCAGTAATGTCCAACTTCACCTTAAATCTCCTCCTGCTCCGTGATACAGTTCTAACTTCACTTTTCAGGAGAAACAAGATATGTGCAACTTCAGTGATAATACATCACTTATTAGTGGTAATTAGACTCTCCAGAGGCAACAGAAAGATACAAAATATAGTATTTGAAGAAGAGGAGCAACAGGTCTAGAAGGTTTTATATACAACAGTAATTTAATCCTGCAAATTTAGAGCTAGTCTCCATTTCAACAGCAGTTGTGCAGATCATACTTTAATGGTGTGTTGCAATCCTACCTCATCTTTTGTACTAATCTTCCTAATAGGTTGGCAATTACAAGGGTCAGTTTGCAGTCCTCCCATCACCACACGTTATTTAGTACTTCCAGTTGTGACAGGGAAGAAGTTGTGTTGAACAAGCAAACTGAGTAAGAAAGTCGGAACATTTTTCACCCTTTCCCCTCTGAATAAGCAACAGGGGTTTTTTTGATGTCCCTACACACAATCATGGAAGTACTATTAAGCACATGGATGATTGTGGAAATGGTAAGGGTAGGTGATGATCATCTAGGTCAACTACAGTGCAGCTAAATACTGAATAAGCATAGGGGGAGTTTACTTGTTCTGGGAGTGAAAACACTCCCACTCTAAAATAATTTAATATGTAGTAGAAATTTGGATCATGAACTTGTATAACTTCGGTCACAATATTCCCCTTGTGTTACTAGTTGAACAGCCATAAAAGAACTCAAATTTTAATGTATAATACTGAATGGACTAGCTAGTTTTTATTTAAAGGCCAAAGAAAACTTTCTTTTTAAAGTCTTGTTGAAATTGTGCTAGGTGGTTTCTAGATAGTTAGTGGAACACTTCTCCATGAAAGAGGTAAAGGAATGCAAGATTTTGTCTTTGTACAGTTTTATGCGTCAAAACACACAAACTATAGAAGCCTCATGATAAGGAATCTAACTTTTAATCTGTGACAAGTATTGAATAATACTCTAAAATGATAATAATGAAATCTAATACTTCAGACCCTGAAGAAAGTGGAAGGATGTTCTATGTAGTCAGTGCATGATTGGTTTGATTAAAGTACAAGTCCTACACCACCTGAGTTTGTCTCAGAAGTGTGTGTTTGTGCGTGCGCTGTTTTTTAGTGCTCTTTAATCATTCTGGGACTATTATATCTTGATTTGCAGGTGCTCTTTCTGAATTAAGCTGCAGTTTAGACAGCAGTATTCTTTTATTTACAGTGTTCCTCTGTGTAAGAACAGTGACTGCCTAGTTACTTTTATCTTCCTAAGTGTGTTAGCATTTTTTTATTGTTAGAGTTTTCTTTGAAGAAGGTCATAGTGTAACTATGTTAGCTGATCTTTCTTTTGGTAGAAAATGGTGGGAAGGGCATGTTTTATATAATAGGTCTTATTGTGAAGGTGATATAAAATGTAATACTCCTTTGTGCTTTATTTAAAAAAAGGTGACTGAAAAAATAGAAGAAACTCTAAAATTTTACATACTTTTTTTTCCCCTACGGATTTTTTTGTGGTTTCAATAGCGGATATTGGGGGGGGGGGGAAGCAACGTAAAATCTTTGCTTTCAATATATCTGTGCTAGCATGGCTTGAACTGTATCTAGAAGATAGTTGTCATCACTCTGAAGAAGTCGTACCGTCTGCTCAATGTCTTGTTAGTTTTTTTTGATTGAGGAATCCCTTTAACGTTTTAAAACTGAATTTATAATTCCCAGTCATGCTGAGTAAGTACATCAAAATGGAAACCTGGAAAACAGCCTTTCCTTCAGATGTCCTATAGCAGTTAACTTTGTATGCGTGTTTGGAAATACAGAAAGAGCTTACCTGCTGAAAGGTTTGGCAGAGGAATTTAGTATAATAAAGGGCAGTTGAACAAGTCAAACATTAAATTTTGCTCTTTGTGGATCTTTTGTGGTATTGATAGAACATTTGAAGAGGGAATTCCTTCTGTTTTGCTTTAATTTGGGTACATAGTGCCACAGAACAATTTATCCTTCGAAGATTAAAGGTTGTTTCTTTATTTCTAGTACATAGTTTTGATTTTTCTTAACTGTCAAAATTAAGATAATAGATGGGGGGGAGAGTAAAATCTGGCTATAATTCATCTCAGATTCTTCATCCTGTGCTACTTTGTATCAGAGATATAGTGATCTAGTTTTACTTATGCTTAGTGTATTATGTGTAATGCTGGAAGGAAAATGTGAATTTGTTTCTTTTTTATTATTATTGCTGAGGTTCTGGTTTGACAATTCAGTGAGTGCAGCCATTGGGCTTCTGTTACTATATTCCCCTCAAAAAACAGGCCACTTAAAGCAAATCGCCGATGCTGTATAAAATGTACTCTGCCACTTAAATGTGTTCAAAGCGTAAAGAGGTTTTTTAATGGAATAATTGTTCAAGACAGCTCAGTGATTTCAGTTTTTCTCCAAATTAAGATATTGAGTAGTGTATTTCTTTTATCATAGCAAGAACCCTTCAGGTACCACATGCAGTGGATTCCAAGTTCATCAGAGCATGGGATTTAGAGTTCAGTTGTTTCTTCTGATGTAAAGTAAAAGTATAGGATATAAATTAAATTAATTAGAAAAATGTTCCTATATATAAGGGGAAGACATGTTTTTTCTGAAGACTAAATTGATGAAGTGTTTAGTCTCAATCTTTTATCTTATGAGGTATAGCAAGAATACTGTTCTTTATAGTATGTCACTATTAATTTACTGTACAGCTTGTATGTATTTTTTTTCCATAAGATAGCATAAGGATTCATTTTCTGAATTAAGATTTTTAGATTTAAATACTTTTTAAGCACATTTATAATTCTTAAATTTTTGTGTTGAAATTGCTCTAGGGCCTGATGCCATCTAGGGCCTGATGCCATGGGTGTTAGGCTTAATTTTACAGTGCAATTAATAGCACTCTTGCTGTGTCTGACTACATAATCAAATTCCATATCTGCAACAGTTTCAAATAAGAAGTAATACATCAAGTTATTCAAGATGTAGTTTGTTGGATAAAAGTAGTGACTTCTGTTGAATATCTTCATGAATGCTATTTCTTAGCTGAAGAAAACTAGTACAAGCTGTGCTAAAGGAAAACAAAAGACTAGAAGTAATTTCTGATTTGTTTGGATTTTTTTTTTACTTTTCAAGTTTTAAAACTGATTTTTTTATCTGGAAATAATGGTTGCTACTGAGGATAAATGCTTTGTGCTTTATTTGTAATGTTAGATTTCAAAGATGGTGTAATTCTGCAGTGCTTCTGGTTGATCATGCAGGAAAACCGTTAGTCTGTAGTCTTCAGTTTAGGAGTATGAGGTCAAGGTGGTTTTTATCACTAACGTTTGTTAGTATGTATAAGGCTGAGGTAAAGGAAAGCTGGGTTGGGTTTTTTTTCTTCACTGACTTTCACATTGACAATCCAAGTGAAATAATGTAATGATATAGTAAAGTGTTCGCATCTCTTGCCATGTAGCAGATACTAATATATCTGGTACTCCCTGCCTTTATTGTGCCATTTGATGACAAATAGGAGCACTAATCGTCATAGGATTTGCTGGTAATGTTTCTGGAGTGGTTTCTCTTAATTATTTATGTTTGTACTGTATCAGCTCTCTAATTTGAGACTATTATAATACTCATTCTTCCTTGACTAGCTATGATGCGTAGTAATGATTGCCTGTTTTTATTGCTTGAAATCTGAAATTGCCCAAGCACTTATTTGAATTAGTAAACTTGTGCAGTAGTCTGTCCTCCCTCAAATGTATTTTCTTGATCAGTATCGTACAACTGATTGTAAGTCCAACCATTGTAGAGCCGTGTATGTCTGATTTGCCTTCTTCTTAGTAGTTTATTTACTGCTTTGAAGTTATATTACTGGTGAGAGATTTAATTTGTGCTTTAATATAGTATGTGTTGGTGTCCACTGGAGACCACTATCATTGACAGTTCCACTGCAGCAAGCTTCTGCTTATATGCTCAGAGTGAGAGTAGTTAAAAGAAACCAACCAAACTCCCACAAAACCCCCCAAAGTTAAAGTACTAAATTTAACCCTTTTTCCTTGTATCCTTTCCTTTAATTTGAAAGGATTTTTTGATACTGAGAGCTCTTTCCTTTAAAGTTGCCTTATGTAAGTGTCAATTATAAACTTCTGTTTTTGTATGTTTAGGTCAACTTGAAAAGACCTTGCCCATTTTGGGCCGATGACGGCCATTGTTCTATCAAAGATTGTCATGTAGAGCCTTGTCCTGAGGTATGGATCAAATAATATAAAATAGAAAAAGGTTATTTTGTTTAAAAGTTTGATAATTTGCAGTGACTAATACTATGCTAACAATATTTGCTAGTGAGAACTTAAATTTAAATTAAAAAGTGACAATAAAATTATTTTCTGTTTCAAAAGCAGAAATACAACCAATGAATTTTAAGGTCTTAGTCATTTTACGAACAAAACAATAACTTTAAGAATGTCTCTTCTACGTGCTAGCACTGTTTTGGATGTAACATGTTGAGAAAGAAGGTAAAGGAGCAAGTTAATTATTTAAAGACAAATTTGCTTTGACCTCTGTAGGAATTATATTTAATTTGTAGATTTTAATTAAGCATAATAATTTCTATGAACAGTGTAAAAACTGATTTTTTTTTTTGTTTTAGAGCAAAATACCTGTTGGAATCAAAGCTGGGAGCTCTAATAAAGTAAGTAATTATTTCTTTTCTAAGTTCTTTCTGATTTTTTTTTTTTTTTCAATCTTAACATTACAGTAGCTGTGTGGCTTTTAATTACAAACCTTCAGTCTTGGCATAGTGATTAAATTGTTAACATAACTGATCAGTTTCAGTATGTGGCTTTACATTTTTACTTTTACATGGAATAGTGATTCTGGCTTAGCTAGTACTGTCATGTCATTCTGAGTCTGTCATAGCTTGAGAGCTGGTGCAGACTCAATGAATGAATGACCAGGGACAGCAGTACATGGCCACAGAATGCCTGATGCAAAATTCTTTGTTCATTTCTGAGTACAGGCCACTTTCTCACTTCATGGGGGTTGGACTAGATGACCTTTAAAGGTCACTTCCCACCCAAACTGTTCTCTGATTCTGTAAAACCATAGGCTAAGATGCACAGATACAGTAGCAGTGCAGTCTTCTGTGAGAATCATATATAACCACAACCTCTAATATTAAAAGAACCTGAATGATTACAGTAGTTTTGCCATGTCTAATCTTGAGCAGGTCATTAGTCTAAAGATTATTTGTCATTAGTCTAAAGACAATTTAGGCTGAAGTGGTCAGTGCAAGCTTAAGTAGTCAGTCTGTGCTGCTGGCTTTTGCTTGCTTCTCTCCAAACCGTCCTTCTTAGATCACCAAGTGATCTTAGCAAAGCCAAAAAAGTAAAGAGGATATATAACACCTAGAAAAGGTCAGAGCAGAAAGACAGACAACCCTCTCCCATGCCCAAATCCCAAACACAGTCCCCAAGAACAAGGATTTCAGCAGTTGATGGGATGATGGTGACCAAATGAGGCATTTTCCTATTGAGTGCCTTGGCTGTGTTGTAGACTGATACTTAGTCTTGCTTAACTGTCATATCTCCATCCTCCCCAGTATTTTCCACCTCACTGGGCAGCCAGAGTTGCTGCTTCCCTCACCTGAGTGTAGTTCAGAAATGACCATTGGCATTAGGTTTAGACTTTATGCCAAGAAAATTTACCAAAGATAGCTGAGAGGAATACTTCATTGTGAATTGATTACTGCTGTGTCCTGCTGCCATTAAGAGTGCAGGCAATCCTGTCCAAGCTTTTGCTCAAGAGGAAGTCTCATCTCCTGTTTATACCTTTATTGTTAAGCTCACTCTGAAGTAAAGTGTGCATCCTCATTTAAAGGTTTCTGGTGATCAGAGAAGAGACATCTTTCTCACAGACATGACTTAAATGCCAGTCATTCACCATTTCAGCACAAGCAGCAGTAGTTGTTCTGGGAAAACTTTGGCACTACCTCTGGGCAGAAGGTCTTGAGTTTTAGCTGGATAATCTGTTGCCAGTTCTTTTTTTCATTGACCCTGTTCTCTTCCAAGCTTAATTCCAGAGAAAACTGACTCCTGAAATACTGTAATGCCTCCTAAAGAGGCTAAGACTTCAAAGACTGTTTTAGAAGAGATTCTTCTAGCAGGCCTTTGAGCTTCCTGATTGATTAATCTTTGAGAGCCATAAGTAAGATGTTAATTAGTAGCCGAAGAGTATGCTGTTCTTAAGATACTTCACATGAACTTATTGAATTGGACTTTGGGTGACAAACCAACCACCTTTTGCTATCACCTCAATAAAGAAACTGGGATAGTTGCTTTGGGAAGCTGTCGTTTGCTGGTATATTTGCTACAGTCGTTTCCTTTCAATTGCCTTGTAGGTTGTTGCAGGCAGTTATAGAACTGAAAGTTGGGCAGTTCTGCTCCTTTAATCTTTAGTGGAACAAAGACACTAATATCTGCTGCTTCTCTGTCAGAAAACGAAGCATTTCTGCAAAAAAATTGTTATCAGGACTGACATAAATCTTACCTACAGCATTTTCTTACTTCTTATGATTCAGTTAAAGATCTTCCTTGGAGCCAATTAAAAACAGCAATCTCATTTAATATCCCTTTTAAGGAAACATCAAACTCATCTTAGAGTGAATGTTTTGTTTCAAGGACTACTCAAGTACTGTGCTATTAACCTTCCATTTGGGAAGGTCCTGCATCTTGTGGATTATACTTAAAATATTGGTTTTAAAATATATATATATATTATTTTTTTTTTTCCTCTGGTGACATACTTGTCCAGTTGCTCTCTTTCATCCTAATAGTGTCTGCCTTGGAAAGGTGAGAACAACTAAAGGCATCTTTTTAATAATCTCTTGGGTAGGGTTCTGTGATCTAAGTGCTTGGCTTCTGTGCAGTTTCCTATTGCTCTTCTCTCCTAATGTAGATGAGCTTGTAAACTTCTAGCTTTATTCAGGCTCTGATGGGGGATTTTTTGTTTGTTTGTTGAACCATAGAGAAAACAGTTCTTCTTTTGAAAGCTCATCTAACCATAAAGACCAGGGTTACACTTGCACAGCTTCCCCACAGAAATGCAGTTATCAATAGAGGTTCTCTCTTTTAATTCTTGGCACCAACATATGCTTTTTGAATTGATGCTGGAGAGGTAGAAAGTAGATTCCCTTTCTATAGTCTTGTTTCATTTGAGTGGTGAACACATTTTGGGGGGGCCTAGACATTAAAGAACTGTCATGATAGCTGCTGTATTAATCTTTGAAGCAAGGGACAGGATGCAGTAGCTCAAGGTTACAACATTTCACTTAATATTTTACTTCCTGCCCCCCTCTTTTCTATTTTCTTCCAGAAACTGCTCCTAGGAGATTCTGCTTTGGCAGGAACAGACACTTTGTTCTGATCTAGTCAGTGGTCACAGAGCACTCATCTGATAGCTGTTGCTGTTAAACACAGGAGAACAGTGAAGCCTGGAAACACGTTTTGAGACTTGAACATTCCTTCTGTTGGAAACCTTAGATTTAGGAGCATATTCTTGGCAGTAATTTTTTTCACATCAGAGTAGGGATTGGTTTGCAACTCTAGACATGCAGAATGTTTACTTCAGCATCTTAGTATGTTATTTCATCATCAGTACCTGTTTCATTCTAGGTCAGATCCATTCCTTGTTCAGATTTTTCAATTTAACATCCATATGATGCTAAAGAATGAGCCCCCATACCTGGCAAATCCAGTAAAAGTGAATGAGAAATTCCTTCTAGCGTAATTATTTGTTATGGGCAAAGCCCCTAACAAGGTTTAAATTATTTGAGTTTTTTCATCTCTTTCACTTCTTCGGTCTTTGGTAAGTTCTGCTATTTTTCCTTGTATTGGTTCTGGCAAATGCATTTTTAAAGCAAGTAATTTTGCTTACTCATCTGAGCAATTTTCATTAAATCCTTTAATTTTTGAGAAGTATTGTGTTATGTATTGATGCCTCTGGCATCTTGACCACAAGTCTGTCCTCAGAAATGAACTATTATTTTCATTTAAAATTTATCAATTTATTCTTGTTGTTTGCTATTTCTGAAGGGTTGACCAAAGCCTCTAGCTTACATTTTTATTTTCAACTGGTTTTGGATAGTAATCCTTCATGTCAATATGCACATGCCCTGAAGTGAAGGGAAGGCAGCAGTTGAACTTTATATAAGCTATCAGTTGCTTAACATTAAATAATTTTCTGTATTTCTTAAGGACTGTCATAAGGTAGAAATCTGTGTACACCTAAGACTCAGTCTGCAAAAGAAAAAATACACACAAAAAAAGCCCCAACCCAAAAATTCCAAAAAAAGAGGAAATTGGGTTTGTTTGTCTTTTAAGAGAACACTGATACTATTAACTTCCAAAACTGTTAGAAGGATATTTTGAGCTTTAGGCTGACAGACCTAGCAAAATTCCCTGCTGACATATTGTAGAATGGTGGAATTTAATCTTTGATTCTTCAGATGTTTTCCTTAGAAGTATTCTAATAGTAAGTCTATCACACTGGATTACTTTTTAAACAGTATTGTAGAATCAGAGTTCAGTTTAAATAGTTAAATTCTGACTTTAAAATTATCAGAATTTGAAATATTGTTGAATCAGAGTTCAGTTTAAATTCTGACTTTAAAATTATCAGAATTTGAGTTCAGCTTGAAAAGCCTCTCTTCCAGATCTGTGCATGTCTAAAGCATGCTAATGAATAGGATTAAATTAAACATGAGGGGAAAATGGCCAAACCAGATACATTTTCCTACTGAAATAACCAATGAAACTTGGGGTATGATTATGCTTTCAAAATACAAAGTATGTTTATAGATGTGACACTACTTGTCTTTGAAGGTCTTTTTACAAGAATGTAAAGAGGTATCTGAAACATTTTACTACTCTGTTTAATTTTAACAAACAAAAAAGCATATTTAGCTGAATTTTCTGTGGTAGTTAAATCCACAGAGAAAAATTGGCCTGATGAAATTAAGTGAAGAAAAAGAGAAATGAGAAACGTTCCAGAATTGCTGCTTGTAGAATCTGAGGATTTTCCTTGACACTAGCGAATTCACTGCTAAACCTAGAAATACCTTTCACAGCACCTCTTCTCAGAGAATTTTAGGTAATTAATTTGTGTATTAAATATGAACTTTCTTACAGTATTCAAAAGTGGCAAATAATTCTAAGGAATTGGAAGACTGTGAGCAAGCTAACAAACTGGGAGCTGTTAACAGTACCTTAAGGTATGCTGTGATTTACAACAGTAATACAAAAATAGTAACAAAGGAGCATTTCATTTTGTCTGTCTTGTTTTTGCAATGTGCTGGTTTTTGTTCTTCATTCTTTCCATAGCCCATTAGAAAGTAAATGTGAAATGATGTGAGAACATCTGAAGGTAGAGGTGTTAAGTGATAAGTAGACTTTTTTTTTTTTAAGTACACTTTGATATTATTTGAAAGAGATACCTTACAGCATCAAGAGTTGGAGGAAACTTCTAAATAAAGCCACCTTTTTTTACTTTTTACCAGTATCAGTCTTTGTTCTTGATGACTGTGCTGGATTAAGGGATTCTGTTCTGCTCTGGCCCTCTGTTACACTGATGTGCCTGTTTGTGATCATTCAGTGAACCAGATCAGGGAGCTTGTGAAGTTACTTTTGTTGTTGGCAAAGTTATTTTTAGCTTGGATCAATTCCCTGATCTTGCTTATTGCATGGCACAGTCGAGGTTGGGTGGGAAGAATTCTTCAAGATGGTATTGCCCTTGGGTATGAAAGTGTGTGGACCAGCACTTAGAAAAACTTGCATTCTACTAGACTCCCTACCTTTAAAAAGTAGAAATGGAAAAATCAGTTCTTTGCTGTTGATGGAGAGGTCTGGTGCCTTAGGCCATAGATTGCAGTAGTTCTGCCTGATAGAGATGTTGAAACTCTTTCCTGTCATCAGACAAAATAGGACTGCCATGAAAAAGCAACTGCTTCTGCCTGGTGTGCAGCGTTTTAAACCAAGCTGGGTAGAGCCCTTATCCAAGATTTTTTAGGGGAAATAAGAAAGTATTAACTCTCTTTCACTCCTGTAGGGTGAAAGAATATCAGATTGAGTACACACACGGAGAGCTAAAGAGCATGCCTTTTGTGAGAGTAGGGTAGGTGATTAAAGTTGGGAGAGGGCAGGTAATGGATCCTGCAAATGCAGGAAGAATTTGTGCTTTGTAGGTAAACCTCTGCGTTCTTTACCTAGCAGTGCATCATCCTCATGGTTTTGGGTTATTTTCCTTTATTAGTTGTGTTTCTTGTGATTATCAAATCTTGCCTGATGGCAATTACTGGAGAAGTTCCTCATCTAATGCCAAGTGTAAAGTCTCCTATTGTGATTTGGCAGAAGATTAGAAATGTATCTTGTTGTATAACTGCCTCTGTTTGTAGGATTGAGCGAGTACTAATTTGATCAAACGGAACAGGTTGCTTTCATTATTTCAAGGTGCTTCACACACCCTGAAGCAGAGTTCCCAGTCTTACCTTTGCTCACGTTTTGCTGTCAGTAGTGTGGTGTCGGGAGTTCTGTGCTGCACATACGCGTAGAAGAAAGCGTTCAGCTTTTGGCACTGCTTGTATTTCATAGTGTGGGAACTTCAAAGTACTTGCCTCTCTGGTTCAGTACACCTTTGAAAATGCCAGGGTGAGTGGAATACCGTTATTGTTTAAAAGGCTTAAGAAAAATCATAGAGTAATTTAGCTTGGAATGGGTGTTTAGATGTCCAGTCTCCCACTAAAAAGCAAGGCTAACCATTGTTGATCTTGTTGAAAGTACAGGTTAAGAAAATATGATGATTTCTGCCTCCCTGCCCCTCCCCACCCAAATAACAGCTGCTAAAGTACTTTGAAGAGTGTTAAACATTTAAGCTATAAAAGTATTTTACCAAGCACTTACTGAAGGAAAAGAAGTCACTGCCAGTGCACAGTTTGTTCAAATAACGTTGGTGAAGTCTTTCTTGTTGTTTGCTATTAAAATGACTTTTTAAAGTATTGCAGTTGATGCCTGCTTGAATCTCTGTGTGGCTAAAAAGCAGTAAATCCATGTATTCTCAAGTGTCGGATATGGTAATTCAGAATTCAGTGCCAAGTTAACTACTATATGTGGATTGTGTTTCTTTCGGTAGCTCTTACTGATGTTGTTAATTTAAAAGTTAAAATCAAATGTATTTTCTTCCCCTCAGTAACCAAAGTAAGGAGGCTTTCATTGACTGGGCGAGATACGATGATTCACAGGATCATTTTTGTGAACTTGATGGTAAAATGTTTAAGCTTTTTCAAAGTGTTTGTTTTATTTGCTGTCTCTTAAAAAAACACTTTAAAATAACAGTTTTCGAAAAGTTTTAATTTTGTGCTAAATGGAGATGTGACAGATCATATAACCTTACGTGCGAAGAATGCAATTTTTCACAAGGAGCATTTGGTAGTCTACACAGTGCACATTCACTGTTACCCCCCGTTAGTATAGTGGACAGGAGACTTCTATAAAAGAAGACTTCTAAAAAAGAAGGTGAATGGGAGGAGTTTAGCATATATTTTTTAAAAAGCTTCCTACAAAAGAGTTGCATCTAGCACAAATATAAGACAAATTACTTGCACCTGACTCCATTTCTTACTACTATATTATTGTTGCTGCTATTCTACTGTATTTGCTTGGGCTGAGTTTGTTCTTCTTACAGCCTTGCTATGTTTCCAAATCCTCTGCACTAAATTCACCCTTATTTGTAAAGACTTTCTTATTGTTAAAACATTAGGATACTAGATTGTGTCTTCCTTCTGATCCACATACATGAGTCCTTTTATTTGCTTGTAACATTCAAAGCTCACAGGAGTGTTTTTCAGATAACAATGAGAATCGCCAAGCTCAGGAATGACTGCTAAAGGCCTTTTTGGTAAATACCTTAGGAAGTGGTCTGTGCCAGGAAGACTTAGGGCATAATGCAAGATGTTTTAATTTGCCTTCAGGCTAATGTTTAGTGTCACCTGAGAAAGTAGTAGCTGTAATGGACTTACCCACTGCAGTTCTTTTTCAGCACTTCTGCTGTGTCTTATCTCTGAAAGTTTTCTATGTGAATTGTTTCTGTAATAAATATTTGATGAGCATTACTGTAGATCTGAACTGTTATATGCAGTAAGCTGCTGTGGTCTCTACTGTCTTCAAGCTGCCTTACTTAAGAAGACTTGGTTAGGAAAGGTATTGTTTAAGAGCATTTCTTTTAGAAGTAATGCCAACTTAAGTAGTTCCTGATTCTACCTCCATCTCTCCTTACATCATGCCCTGCTGAAGGAGGATGTACTGCCCCTAGCTGTGTTCTTCCAGTGCTTTTTTTTTTTGCTCTGGTGTGCATCTTTCTGCATGGTAAGCTGATTCAGGATAAGCTGATAGCAAGAAAATAAGTTGACATCTCCCTGCCATCTCCCAGATTGTTGGGATGAACTGGCATATCAGGTGAGTCTGGGAGGTGGAGCAGGAAGAGGTGAGAGAGAAGAACTTTATTTACAAGGTAGAAACTCTTGTTCTCTTGCTCTCCCCTCTTCCTGATGATGAGAGTGCTCTTAATTCACTCAACTGTAGCACAAAACCATATAATCAGTTTTACTTTTTACTAGTTTTTTGTTGCGCTTAATGCTAAACTAGATAAGGGAATTGATCGAGCTGAAAAAAACTTCATAACCCAGGTCAGCTTTCCATCCTTCTTTTGCACTGCCCCACAGATTCAGTTGTATAATGAGAAGAAAAAGTGGAGCCCTGAAGTGACCAGGAAGTGTAGGAACTGCTTAGGTTAGCCATGTTGTCAGAGAAATAGATGAAGCTGTAATTTCTCTTTGTCACATCTGACACTTGCTGTGGTGTTGTGCGTTTTCTGTCTGTCTCTTCTCTTTGTTTTTGATACTGCTGCTGAAGGGATGCTTGACTGCTCGAGCAGAGTCATCTCTTCTTTTTAGAGCAGTTTTCACTCTCTGTTTTTGTGGCTTTTTTCAACATCTGAGGAAATCCTCGGTGGTACTGCTTGGCCTATTCCTATGAATAAGTCTCTGGACTACTGGCTTGTATTGTACGTGGGTTTTCTTAAGCATGAGTTGCTCTTGACCTAGAATTTTCAGAGGAGTGAATTCCTCCTGCTTTTTACTAGTTGTAGCTCAAAACTGAAGTTTCTATTCATACAGAGTTTTCAAGCAGAGAGGGGGCTGTTTCACAGTTTTCTTTGGATACGTTGCCTGAATTTGTAGTGAACTTCAGAGCTGAGGGTTATAACTTGTTGAAATGCTGCTTAAATAACATGTTTCTTGCCATAACCAACAGAGCATTCTGCAATATGCTGGAAGTTTGTTCAGTTAAGCAATGTGACCCAGACTTTCTGACAGCATGCAAGGGTGTCTTGGGAAAAAGGTGATTTAGCCAATAAATATACAATATGTACCAACGACAAGATGCACTTTGACCTTGTCTTTATTAAGAAGCCCCCTGTTGTGGTTTGGCCCATCAGGCAGCTAAAACAACTGTGAGCCCTTTGCTCACTCCCTGTGCAGTGGGATGGTGGAGAGAATTAAAAAAAAAAAAAGAAAGTAAAACTTGTGGTTGAGATAAAGACAGTTTAATAGGACAGGAAAGGGAGAGAATAATAATAATAATAATAATAGTGATAAAAGAATATACAAAACAAGTGGTACTTGTTTTGCTCACCACAGTTGCTCACCACCCACTGACCAATGCTCAGCTAGTTCCTGAGCCGTGGCACCTCCTGGCCAAGTTCCCCATTTATATACTGAGCATAAGTTATATGGTATGGAACACCCCTTTGGTGGCCAGTTTGGGTCAGCTGTCTGGCTCTGCCCCCTCCCAGCTCCTTGCCAGCAGGGCGTGAAAAGCTGAAAAGTCCTTGACTAGTGTAAGCACTACTTAGCAACATCAGTGTGTTATCCACATTGTTCTCATACTGAATCCAAAACACAGCACTATACCAGCTGCTAGGAAGAAAATTAACTCTATTCCAGCTGAAACCAGGACACCCCCATAGCAGTATAGCCATTTAAAAAAACCCCAAAACCTCACCCCAACCAAATACTGCCAGACAAATAAACTCTGAATTTTAAGCCCATTTAAAGCTAAACACTGTTTATATCTTAGCATAGGATGAGAACACGTGCATGACAAGAGTTTATGGTGGAGCTGAAGCCATATTGAATGTGTTCAGACATTGTAGAAATTCTGGCCATACAAGACACTTTGGAATAAATTATATACTTTTGTGCTTTCTGTTTAGGTGTATGTAACTGTAATTTTATGTACAAGGGAAGATGGAATAGTATTTTATAAAGACCTCTTACTTATATTTAATTCTATGTGACTGATTTTTTTAAATTGAATCTTTTTTAAATGATCAGTTAGAATGTGTAACAAAAGGTTTCCTATTTAGATGAAAGATCTCCAGATGCACAGTATGTGGATTTGCTGCTGAATCCAGAACGTTACACTGGATACAAGGGGCCTTCTGCTTGGAGAGTGTGGAACAGCATCTATGAAGAAAACTGCTTCAAGTAATTGGGAGGGGGAGGAAACCTATTTCTTATACCTGTGTTCCAGTTTGGCTTAAAACTGATGTTTGTGTTTTCTAACTTATTTTCTAGGCCTCGATCTGTCTATCGTCCTTTAAATCCACTGGCGCCTAGTAGGGGTGGGTCTTGCCTGTTTCATTTTCTAAAGCAGTTCTTTTAACATAGTGACTATTGCAGTACAAGTGATACAAAAAATCTTCAGTCTGTAGGTGTGCTTACTGCTTCTTTAATTTCCTGTTCATTTTCAATATTTAGGCTAAGGTTTGTGATACTTCATTGCATACATGCTTAATCTTATGCCTATGAATAGACTCATTTATGTCAGGGAGCTAACATGAAATCTAAAGTAAGTCTCAAACTGTTTAGTAAGTGTCACAGTAATTTTCCAGTTTTGTCTGGAAGGAGTTAAAATTGAACAAAAATTTCAGCACTCTTGTATTCTTCCCTTGTCCTTTTCTCCTAGAGCATTTAGTTTAATCACTTTAGCTCGTAGTCATCCTAGTGGAATGTAGCTGTACATTTTCCATCCATAATGTTTAGTGTATTACAAGTATACAGATAATTGTGTTATTTGAAGAAAGAGTGGATACTTAGGAAGGTTTAGTTATCTGCAAGAATGTTAAAAAAAAATGTATGCCAATGACTTGGCTTTTAAGTTTTCAAATTTAAATAAAAAACTATAACCTAGTGTTCCAAATTAATCTGCTTTCCCCTGTTGATGTGTCTTATTTCCCTTAAAAATTAACTATTAGCCAATAGATAATATAGAATATATCAGCACATAAATATTGAGATAATATATTGCTGCTATACACAAATAAATAGAATTGTAAGAGCAGTTTAAATCAAGGATTGGAATTTCAGAAAGAAGTGCTGGTCAGATTGTTGAATAATGTGAACTCAAGAAGAAGACTTCCTAACCATCCTTCTGAAGCTAAAACACAGCTTTTAAGAATATGTAAATTGGCTGCTACTAAGATTTAAAATTCTTAGTGACTTTCATTATTGTATTGTGTTTAGTCACAGGTGGTCTTGAGGAGGAGGAAGAGGATGGAAAGTAGCCTATTTTTTTGTAGATTAAATAAGGTTTCTTGCACTTTATGAGTTTGTAGTAAAGTCTGTTTCATTACTACTTTGCTGTGGAAATTATCTTTTTAATGCTTATGGATTTTTTTTTTCTTCCCCTAAGGAGGAGATGATGGTAAGTTGTCTTATTTTGCTTGACCTGTAGAAATGAAGTAAGCATTAAAGAGTTTTGGACATCTAATTTATTCACTTTATTGCCATTGCATTAGAGGGCAGGGGAGTTATGTTTTTATGCAGATGATTGATCAGAAAATGTTTTTATTAGGTAATTCTTTCATTTTGAGTAGGGGCAAGGAGTGGGTAAGAGCAGAATACAATTCTGTTGTTGGTTCTTGTCCTTGTAACAGAATATGTGTTGCGATAATGTTTTTAGTGAGATAACTGGAGATGCATGAATTAAAGGATCCTTGGGTCTCCTCCAGAGACCGCCCCATCATTGATATTGATGTCAGATCTCTTAAAAGAAGAGGGGTGGCTTTTTGTGTACTTTCTTAAATGTCTTTGATTTTTACAAAGGTGGGGAGAGGGTGGGGGGGAACAGGATTTGGTCTGTCTGCAGTGAGACAGACTTAAAGATTTTTCAGTCAAAAGATGTAAGCCTACAGGAAACGTTCCGACAGCAGCAGTCAGGGTAAGGGCTATGAGATAGAGTTACAGTCTTCTGTCATGTCTTTCACCATGAGTGCATATAATCAGGCTCGAGCTTTCATACGCTTCTGAATGCCCTGACCGGTAGTTTAGTTGTGCTCCTTCTTGTAGGTTCTGACCCCAAGAGAACAGGAGACACACTGAAGCAACTTAATCTGGCAGTTAAGTCGCTTCATTGCCTATTCTCACTTTAATAGCTAGATTATTTAGCTGTATGTCCAGGTGGCAGGTAGTGTTAGTATTCATGTATATCATAAAGATACTGTAATGTTGAAAATTAATACTCTTCATTTGACTGTATTCTTTATATTTGCAGGAGAATCTTTCTACACATGGCTAGAAGGTAAAGCCTCTTGGATGGGTTAATAAAATGTTAAATTCACTAGAAGAAACACTATAGTATTTCTTTATCCTCCCTAAATATTTTTCATAGTGTAGGCTTTTTAATAAATTGTGCAGAACTTCTGTGTGTCATTCAAATAAATTTTATTATTTTTTAGGATCTTTGGAAACCTTCTGTTTTATTTAGATCGTATACTTCTTCAGCCTGTCAGTTTAACCCATCTTTTATAAAGGGCGTGTTCACCTCAATGCGAGTTATTTTGAATTATTTGCTCATTTTAGGCATTTAAGCAGGGACATGATTATTAGTAACTCTGTTATTTGAAAACAGCTTTAAAAAAACTTTAAAGTTTTTGATGGTTCTGTTCCCAGCGTATAAATTAACGTAAGTATAATGTGTGTTCAGAAGGCAAATCAATTTGCTTTTTATTCATATCTAAATGGAACTTATTATTACAGTGGTAGCAGTCATAATTCCATTTTGGAGGTGTGTAGAAAAGTAAATTAGTTAAGTGTACTTAATTTTAAACTTAGTTCATTCTACCTTTTACAAGCCTTTACTTGTGTAGTTGGAAATCTCTAACTGGTGCTGTTGTAGGCAAGCATGCAAATGTACGTGCTTTTAAAAATGTGATGTCCGTAAATTAGGCCATATCTCGGCTTCGCCATCAGCTCTTTCGGCTTCCGTTTGTGGAGTTTGGAGTGGCAGGGAAGTCACCCAAACGTATCTTTGAGAAGGGGAAAAAACCTCCTAAATTACAGGTGTAGTCTCTGTCTCTGGGTCTCAGTGGTATTATAAGTGATTTCTGCATTTTAATTATATTTTGGCAACCCAATGCCATTATGTCTCTGTTTATGCTGTTGAAGTCTGTAGCCATCAAAGTAATATTTTTCAAGGTTTTGCTCTGTGTATTTAAATCTTCAGTGAATTTACAGCAGAGCTGGGAAGAAATATTTTGCTGTTTTCTAATGCTGTAAGGTTTTCTGGGTTTTTTGATGTTTTCCTGTAAGGTCGCTACTCTAATTCACTGGAAGCTTTAATTCTAATTAGGATGGACCGCAGTATAATTCTAGTTTCCAGACTGTCAAAATTTGAGACTATTTCAAATTTATTACTCAAACAATGTAAGCATCTTATTTTTGTGTGACAATTTATCTGTACTAATTGACCAGATTTTTATTTGATTGTATTTATTAGAACACTAAAATGCCAAGTAAGAAATGTCAAACTTCATTCTTAGTACTTCTTTATATAAAAAATGTTTTCCTATGATGGGTATAAGGGCTTGTTAATGCTGAAGTACTGTAATTATAACTCTTGAAAGTTAAACAATGCAGACTTGCATCACTGAAATGTCAAGGTATATTCATTTTAATACATTATTTCCTGTATTTAGTTTGGGGTCTGTTTGTCTTTTTTTCTGGACAGGTCTTTGCCTTGAGAAAAGAGTGTTTTATAAACTCATTTCAGGACTTCATGCTAGCATCAACTTGCATCTGTGTGCAAATTATCTTCTTGAAGGTAATCTAAGTCTAGGTAAAATTGCTGAATGTAATTCCACAATATTTGTAACATTTTTTTTTTCCTGAAAATTTTTTATATGTACTTAGTTGTGTTCTTTTTCTAAATAATGTATGTTTTACTCCCTGTTTCCCTTTTTTCCTCTGTGTAGAAACCTGGGGGAAGCCTCGCTGGGGACCAAATGTGAAGGAGTTCACTCGCCGCTTTGACCCTATTGAGACAAAAGGAGAAGGACCAAGGAGGCTCAAAAACTTGTATTTCTTATATTTGATAGAGCTGCGTGCTTTGTCAAAGGTTGCACCATACTTTGAGCGTTCAGTTGTTGACCTTTACACTGGAAATGGCCATGAGGATGCTGAATCAAAAGCTCTCTTACTCGACATCTTCAGGGATACAAAGTAAGGCATAAGATTTCTTTTTATCAATAGTTTTAAATGATCTGTTATATTCACAAGTGCAAATAGATGACTTCTTCGTAGGACAGAACAAGGAGAGAGTGGAATGGGGAAATAAGATTAAGTAATGGGAGAGAACAAGAGGAATTTGTACGTTTGACAGGAAGAGACAAATATTTTTGGGGTTTGAGTATGCCAACCTTAAAGAAAACCCAACCAAACAAAAAAACCCCCACAAACAAACAAAAACTACCAGAAAACCCACCACACAACACCCTGGGCTACTCCCTATTTGTTGCTTTTTCTGATTCTTCAGTGTAAGAGGCACATGATTTATTTTGGAAAGGAAAATAGTGCATGTAGTCTTTAACAATCCAGTAAGCAATCCAGCTTCTATCATAGACTTAAGCTGTGGGGTTTTAGCCATCCCTTCTTCCTTCTGTTTACTCTCTAAGTTTCCTTAGTCCAGTTCCTTTGCTCACCTTCTTGCTAATTTTTGTGATTGTTAATGTGCTGTGTGGCTTCATTGCTGTCCCTGATCATAATCTTTCTAAGTATTTGAAATATGGTCAGTCAATGATCAACTGAAAGGCAAATATTAAGGCAATTTCAGTGTATATTAGAAAGAAATAGTGATCAGTGGAAATGGAGTGAAGAAAATTCTCAGTAAAACTAAATAACAGATTTCACGTTGCAGTGATTGAATAGTAAAACTGATACCATTCAGTAATTTTTTAAGAGCTATTCTGCAAAGACTAGGAACTCTGAAAAGTATTTTACATTGACAGCATCAGCTTGATGGAACACTGTAGTTTATGCCAGCAATTGTGGGTTTTTTGCATTTTGTCTTTATTAGGTCCTTCCATATGCACTTTGATGAAAAGTCTATGTTTGCTGGAGATAAAAAAGGAGCCAAGTCATTAAAGGTAAAGCTGTTTTTTTCTGAATGACATCCAAAATACCCATTTTGGAATTAAGTTGTGTTATTTTAGAAAACCTCTCTACCTTTCAAAAGCACACTGCTAAGAGTAGAAAAGGCAGGGAGAAAAACTTACAGAATTGTATCTGAGGCCTCTTAATCTACTTTGTAGTAAATTAATGCAAGGTGTTATTATTCCTGAGCCAAGCAGACTGAAATCTCTGGTTTAGTGCCTTGGATCTGCTGTCAGACTATGGTGAGGCAAATTAGTTGAATTGGTATTACCAGTAGATGCAATGGTGTTTTTTAAATAGAGTATCTGTTTCACATAAGCATCTGAAAAAAAATTCAGTGGTATTTCCTTAAAAAACAGATGCTTTCTACAGTATAATATAATATGATACAATATTATACATAACATTAGAAAAACATAGTTCCTAGGCAGGGGAACCTAATGTGAATGCTGTTGTTACCTAGCAACTTCCAGTGTTAACATGCTGGTGTTCAGATTGGTGCGCACTGCAATTCCACAGTTGGAGTGTGCCTAGTAATAAAGGTCTGTTTTAATACTTACTAACACTTTTAATACTTATTTCAGTAATAATTTGGAATTCAGCATTAGAAAGAATGTTATTAGAAAGGTGCCAGTAGTTTATCAGCCCAGCTAGTGTTTTTCTGACTTTAAATGTTTAATTGAAGTCATCTTAATTAGTTCTGTGCTGTGCTTGCTTACACTCTGAAGCTGCCAAGCAACAATTTACTTGTAGCTTTGGACAGGAAATGTACATTGTGAATTGTTTGCCTGTTTGTCAAAAAGGTAGGTTGGTTCAAAAGGGATTTGAATAATGGAAGAAAAATTGGGCAGGGACACATACAGTACTTAGAGCTCAGAAAATTTTGAGCAAGTTGCTAGAAACTCAGCGTACAGAATCCAAGCGTTACCCTGCATGTCCTGTATTCTGGGGGGGGGGGTTGGCAAATTGACTGTTAACAGTGGCTGGAAGCAAGATTCTGGGTTTATGTGGACCTTTATGGCCTGACCACATATGGTAGTGGTTCTGTTAAGTTTTAGTAATACAGAATTGATAATTCTAGTGGGTACTAGATTAGTTAACCTTCTCTTTTTGTAAAACTAAGAGGTACTTTAACTTAACCTTTTTTATTTTGCTTTTAACTGATAGGAAGAATTCAGATTGCATTTCAAGAACATATCCCGCATAATGGATTGTGTTGGATGTGATAAATGCAGGCTGTGGGGCAAACTGCAGGTATGGTTTATGTGTGTGTGCATGGCTGGGAGGGGAGGTTAGAAGATAAGAGGCCTCCTGCCAAACTGAGAGAGTTGCTTTACTTAGCATTCAGACTTTCTGCAGGTGGTTGGTCTTTGATATCCTTGCCTATATATTAAAAATAGGCATATGTTTAGTTCACTGCTAAACAATTGTTAAAAAAAAATTGTTAAAAAATATTTTGTTTAGTCAACAGCTGTTTAGTTTACTGAAAGGTATAGTTTGTATTTTCCAAAAATAAAGTATTTAAAGCAGATGCTTCACTTCAAAGTCTTACTGGCAGTCAGTGTCTTATCTGTATTCAGTGATCAGATGAGCCTTGTAGAATCACCCGTGGGAAGCCTTCTTGGAAATATGGCACTTGCTTAATTGTTAGACAGTCCAGCATGGGATTTCACTCACAAATTGAGGCATAAGAAAAAGAAGTAATTCAGGTTTTCCCAATTTATACAGAAGGCAGCAAATGAACGCAAAAGTACACAGTAAAGCTGAAAGCTGAAAAACAGAATTTCAGTTTCTGGATCCTTGTTATTTTTATTTTATTTAGAATGAGGTTTTAAAACTCAAGACTAATGTTAAGTCCAGACTGAGAATAGTTGTTCCTTTGGGTTTCCTACTGTACTACTCTGCTGTGGAGCATTAAGCTTATCAGAGTTCAGTTTTCAAATAAATTTATAACATCAAAAATTTGGTGATCTCTGCTGAATTTCCAGAGTCATGCTTCTGATCTATTACTGGTTTTTTTTCCTTCTCACGCAAAATGAAATAGGGCCAGATTTCCTGACCTATAAAATTCTCTTGTAGCCAACCATTTTTCGTTAAAATCCAGTGGTTATTTCTGAGGCCCGATTAAAAGGGGAAATAAGAGTAGCTGCTTCTGTTCTATTTCTGTATAGAAAATAGAGGTTGAGACTGAAACTGCAATGTCTGCCACTGGGACTGGAGGTGGAAAAAGCAGAAGTGTTGTGGTACCTCATAATAAAACCTAGTTTGACTTGGAAGGGGGAGGGGAGAAGAAGGGGAGATGTGATTCAGTAGCTTCTGCAGCAGTGAGGCACCTGTAAGGTAGGGGGCAGGAGGGAGCTGGAAGTGGTGTAACGGGCGTGCTTTCATGTGCATCTAGTGTGGCTGAGAAGAAAAGAGAGGGGAAAGGAAGAGATTAAAAAGATGAGGACGAAGAGCAAGTATACCTGAGGAAATAAGTGTTCTTAAATAAGTGACTGAACCTGGCACACAACTGATGGCATGCATTTGTATTAGTGTCCTGGTTTGTGTGCAGGTATTTGGGTTGAGGAAGTGTCAATATATAATAATTGGTACTCCAGTTTGCCTGGATTAGTAAATTTTTAACTTTTTTACAGTTTTCTGGGAGTTCAAAGGAGTGATCTTATTGATGTTAAAACACTGCATTTTTCTTGTAGACTCAAGGCTTAGGAACTGCCCTGAAGATCTTGTTTTCTGAGAAAGAAATACAGAGCCTTCCTGAAAATAGCCCATCAAAAGGTTTTCAACTCACGCGCCAAGAAATAGTTGCTCTTATAAATGCCTTTGGAAGGTAAGATTTTGTCACTTTTATAGTAGAAAAACTCTAAAACATCAGTGTTGACACTCGGGGTCTGTGGAAAGACAATATTGAACATGTAGCTGTAGCTTTTAAAGGCTCAATTATTAGTAGTGATATTGATAAGCTTAATGCCATCCAACTGAGTATGTGGAGCAATGATAATTAATAATTAGCCTTGGTCATCACTGTGTGTTGAGATCAAATTTGTCAATTTATCTCAAGTCTTATAAATTCCATCTCGTGGAAGCTGGATCTCAAACAGTCTTAAGCATTACACTTTGGGTAAGTCTCCGCAGTTTTTGACACTGAGTAGAGCTGTTCTACTTTTTTTTTTTTTTTTTTTTTAATTTCTGTTTTAAATGTGTGTATGTTAAAAGTAGTGAAAAGGGAGAAAAAGACTTGGAGTTTTTATAACACTGTTGTTTAGCCCTTAGGCTTTTGTATTTTTGTGTATGATGTGATTATTTTTGTTAAAACTTTAATTTTGATTAATTTTTTGAAAACGGGGTAAATTTTTGCCCCATTCAAGTGATCAAATAAAACATTTTAACAGCTTTAAAAGATGTGTAGAACTTGATTTGTTTGTTCATCAGACCAGTTCTTCAGATCTTGAATATAACAATCTGATCCTGTTTAAAACAATGTAATTAATGTTTATTATCTCTGGTGAGAGATTTTTAGATGTCTAATGAAGTCAGGAAAATTGAAAATATATCTAAACTTTAATCCCTGCAATAAATTATGTAAATATAATGGAGAATCAGTGGATCTTTTGAGGGAAAGCAGTATCTTAGTTAATATTTGAAACAGAACTGTGTTTAAAAAAAAAAACAAAAAAAAACCAAAAAAACAAAAACAAAACCAGAAAGCCCCCATGATGATTTGCACTTCTCTTTTCTCTTTCACACTTGACTTACTAACACTTAAGGGGTTTTTGTTTTACAGGCTTTCCACAAGTATAAGAGAGTTGCAGAATTTTAAAGTTTTATTACAACAAACTAGGTAATGAAGGCCTTTGCACAACCCATTAGTGAAGACCATTTACATGACTGCATTGAGCAGAAGGAATTGATCCTTACAGGAGTCACATGAACTGATAAAAAGTAAAATCAAATACCAACTTGAATATTTATGTTTAAACTAGGAACGGTTATTAATTGGAGAAGATATTTATGAATGAAATATATAGTTTTTAAATGTGTAAATTATGTTGATCTATTTTTAAGTTCTCTGCTCACATTTCTGTTGTACCGAAACTTCATAAATTTTCTTTTATTTCTTTGTCTGTTTGAGACAGTTGTTTTATATGAAAACATAATGTACCTCCACCCTGACCTGGCCTGTCCTGAGAGAGGTGGTCCACCTCTCGCTGCTCCCCAGTACTGAGCCTCAATATATTCTGAGGACTGAGTATGCTGATTCTGGCGGTCTAAAAGAAAAAAAACAAAACAAAAAACAAACACAGAACAGGAAATAAGGCTCTTGCTGAGCTGTGACTTCTTACTGTAATAGTGAAACTTACTTAAAAATAGGAAATTTGCTGAGCAGAACATTTTCTTTCAAGCTGAGCTCCTTTGCATCAGGCCGATACAATTTTTTTTCTTTCCTTATGTGCCGCTTTTCAGAATTTCCTTTTTTCTTTAAAATAACCAGCCTGTCTCTGATGCAGCACAGTTGGAAGTTATTTTTCTGCACCCCCTTGGCTACCTGCCTTTGTTTGGGGGTGAGGGTAAGGGCAGGAGGAGATGGATAGTGGAGTGCTGCTAGCTGAAAAGCCTTGTCAATCAAATTCACATCTAGACCGTTTTATTTTCTACATTGTAATCACAAGTTCTGTTTCCAGAAATTGTCTTTTTAATGTCTAAAATGTTAAAATAGCACACTTCGGTCTCTGAGCTGTGGAAGTAGATTTGCTTTTTATGGGTTATGTTTTAGTGCTGTGTTAAAAGGTCAGTGCAAAAAGTAAGAACTTGTTTTTGTAGTCACTTTTAAAAAAAGATGCTTTTTAAAACTCATAACCACACTGATATTTAATACCACGTACTCTATCTATGCAATCCCTAACTGTATCTTCATTAAAAGGATATTCAGCGTAGTAAAACGGGTATGTTAATAACGTAACTTTCATAAGAAATTACTCGTGTATCATTGTCCACAAATGTCAATGATAACTTGCCATTGTCCAAAACCTAATTCAGAAACAGCACTACTGAGTAGTAGCAACCAAATATTGGTTTAAATTTCAAATGAAGTAATAGGGGTTTTTTTAAACCAGCATGTTTCAAAATGAAGTTAGGAGTTATGAATGTAGGAAGTGCTGGTACAGTGTAGATACATCTCTTGTTTTCAAAAATAAGTCTTCACAAAATAAAGTGCTCTTAAACATTTTTCACCCTACCAGATATTGAGTGACCTGTTTATATAACTGATTGTAACTGTACTGGCTTCCATAATGTGGTCCTTTGCAGCTGGGATTTTCTGAAAGCTGGAATACGCTCTATGTCCTTTGTTTCCAGACTAGCCTCAAATTTCTACCTGACTGGAAATGAGAGATGATCCTGCTGACACTTGGTATTATAAAAAATACTGTTTCTCAAGAAAGTAAACCCTCTTGAGTCAAACTGGGATAAGCTAAATTAAAGGGAAAAAAAAAAAAGGCAGGGGGGGGAGTGGACCACAAACCAACTCCACAAAGTTTTGGTGATAGTGGCACAAATTGGCAATGAACTGGTATCCAGTTGTAAGCTCCTGTTTAAACCAGTAGGTAATTTAACATGCTGTTAGAGAAAGCTGATGCCAGTCTGGGGATATGTTCTTACTCAGCAGGCTCTCTTGCCTGTGGGTGCCCATGTCTAAGCAAGTCACCACAGGCTTCCTTTTTCTAGTTAATGGAGAAGGGCAGATGATTTCTAGGTGGATTCATCTGGTCTGTTCTGAGCTCTGTATGATACACTCTAGGCTGCAGTGATTTGCACCCTAGAGTTTATTTTTCTCCATTAAATTGAAGTGGGAATCTAGGTAACTAGCTTGGATGTGAACAGCTGTGTTTGGCAAATGAGTTACACCTCAGGTATCTAACTCTGCTGAGTAATTGTATATATTGGAAGTTTGTCTTTTTCAGTCGGCCATTAATTCCTTGCCTTTTGGATTGACCTGCAAGGGCTAGAACCTGTAGGCTCACTTGTGTGAAGAATGCTGTATAGCTGGGATTTATCTGTATTATTATATATTATAGTGCCTAAAGCTTTAGGCAGGATTTTCTAGTTGAAAATAAATTGTGTTGTCTGTGTTGCCCAAGGAAGGACCTGAGACTCAAAATTGTTTCTTCCCTTTTTCCCCCTGCTTTGTGGGGAAAGTTAATTGCTTCCAACCTTCTTCTGGGGATGCAACTTGCTGTTTTCCTTTTTTTCCACCTGTGCCTGGCTAAAATCTATGGACACTGAAGCAGCAGTACATACTAGCGTCATGCACTTGCTCATGGGACAGGTGAGAGATTCACACACAGATCCTGGGCACATGCTCCTTGCAACCTTCATTGTCACAATGCAGGCAAGGTTAACACCATTGGGTGAGGACAGAAAGAGATGGGAAGCCTCTGTTCTTTTCCTTTGTGTCATGAAAACACAGGAATGCAGCTGAACAGCCAGTTCTGCGTTCAGGGAAGTTCTGTTGCATTTGAAGGTACGTCTCGCTTGGTGATCAAATATGGAAGGCATTTCATTTCACTCTCATTGTAGAAAATAGGACATACAATTTTTCCTGTTACGAATCTAGTTAAAACAATTTTCCTGTCATCTTTTTAATTGTATTTGATGTACATTCTGTGACTATGCTGCCTATGAAGTTTTGCCATGTGAGTCAGATGACTTAGTTCTTTATATGTTACATTAAATTTTAGAAATTTACAGGTCTATTTTTATACTAAAGGATAAGTTAGTGACACTGTCCATGACCTGTAAACTATTTTAAATTCCAGCTCGCTGTTGGGCATCAGCTTGTCAACATTGTCTGCCATTCTTTTCAGAGTAAAAGTACATTTCCTTGTACAAATGACACAATGATTGTAATCCCAGAGGTAGTGAGAAGACAAAAATGTTTCATTTTTCCCAAGTCATGAAGACTTATGTAAAATGTTAAAAAAGACTTGGTGCAAACTGCATAGGATAAAATGTAGGGTGCTGTTCCTGAACAACTTCCTCTTCAGTGCCTGAGGAGGAAGGTGAGAATATAGATTTAAAATAGTAAAATATAGAGACTTGTGTAAGCCAGAATAACAAAAGTGTTTTCCTACTTAAGCTGATGATTTGTGCTGTATGTCATTGTATGTGCATGAAATACACTGTGCCACACTTCTTCAAGTTGTGTTTTGATGGTTGGATTGCCTTTATCTGACCTTGCTTTCTGCTTTTCTGGGAAATTACCTGTAATATGTTGTAAATAATCTAGATGCTTATGTTTATAAAGTAGCAATCAGGAATTTATCACTTTACAATTCTTCCATATAGCTACTCTATTAAAATGTAATATTTATTAAAATCAAAATCAATGTTGGAACTGCTTACTGAGATCTATCTAAACACTTCTGAATCTTTGCTATGTTTGAATCTCTAAAATGTGAATTAAAGTATTTTCTGCTACAACTTATTTTTGTGAATGTAATTTTGGGGGTTTCATTTGAAAATTTTTTTACTTTTCATTTCATTTACCTTTCAACTACGCTTGGTGGAAATTATATAACTTAAATTATTTACATGTCAGTCATTTAAGCTTAAGATGATGGGCAGGCTTTCATTCCCACTTTAATTCCATACAAAAGAATGTCACCTGTGCACCTGTTGCTGTTTACAGTGCCTTGCAGCGTGTCAGCACATCAGAAATTCATTGGCAGAATTACAGTATGCTTCTCTATGAATATGGCCAACTTTAGGCACTGTTTGAGTCCAATTGTTTTAAGAGGCAAAAAGGCTTATTTTGAAATGAAGTTTGGTCCTTTCTGTCCTTTTCTCAGAACAGCTTATAAAATCAATTTTTAAAATATTTTTTCTGGTTGATTTACCCAGTGGGGTGTTTCATGTGAGATTATTCCCCCTAAAGGGCTTCTGAAGCTTTGATTCATTCCATGTATGTATTTTTAACAAATTATCTTACTAAAAATTTGATACACGTATTTTATCCTCAGTTGAGGTGGGTACCTCAAGTGGAGATGATTATACTGATTTAATTTAAATTTAAGATCTTACCTTTCACACTGTTGTTTAAATCTCCTGTGTTTGAGAGTATTTAATTCATTATTATTATGACTGGTTATAGTCACTTGTAACCCCACTTTTTTGCATGTGTGCCGTGGCACAGGGATCAAGCTTGTTTTAAGCGCAGAATTCTCCCAATTAAATTTTTGCTGTGCAGCTCTGTCTACTGTGAAGAAAATGTAATTCCTGCGGTCTTTTATTGCACTGGGTCTTCAGGCAGTTTTGTACAAACATGATTGTAGAACTCCAAAGCATTTAATAAAATTTCTGTTCTTCTCCCAGCCCTGTGGCACCTTTTCAAATCTCTGGCCAATAGTTTAATTGGCGCTTTTTTTTTCCCCTTCAATTAGCATTCAGGAAGAAGTGAAGAGACTAGTGGAAGCTCTGGAGGGCAAATAGTTGGCAGGGTGCTTCTGCCAGAGGCGAGGCTTGTGCTTTGATTTTACCACAAAGGCCCCAAAAGAAGAGTTGGCATATGTGTGGCACGACTATGCTTTTGTCTTCCAAGCAGACGTGATCACATCTACTCCCCATCCCTTCTTTTTTTTTCCCAATATACCCTCTGTGAAATGCCTATGAAAATTCTCTACTTCTTGTACTTCCTGAAGTTGAATATGAGGAGAACATCAAGCCTGTCCACCATTTGGGGATGCTATAGTACACCTCAAATGAACTACCTTTATAGAAGTAAAAAGAAAAGAAAAGAAGAAGAACATTTTTCTCCTATGGAAATGTGGATTGAATTACAATATTCTTTTCACATGAGGATGGAGAAAGAGATGCTGGGGGTGCAGAATTCTTCACAGTAGAGCACACCAGTCAATAAAAAGACCTGAAGTAGAGTTGGGGTTCCTGCTCACCATAGATTAGCATTAATTATTTTTAGGCTTACTATGTACAAATGTTGCATATTAGAATGGTATTAATCCACCATTTCCACCACAAACCACCAAATTTATCCCTGGATGTACAAGGCTGAAGCACAGCTTTGCTGACCTTCTGCTAGTTATGTAAAATTTATCCTCTAAGTTCACTTGAGGTTTTTCTGCTTTAGGTATTCCTGGCTCTTGTTCTGTTCCCAGACTGCACTTCCTAGGTTTCTAGTGAAGTACATAAATAAGTACTGTGATATGTGTCCATCCCCTGGCTAGGTATTTGACTTACTCTTCTATATAATATACCTAGAAATGACTGA